AAGTCTCTTGTCAGGGTATATGGCTCGAGATGGCTGTAAAGATGATAACCACTTTCGGCTAAGAGTCGGCTCCCAACACACCAGAACTTCCAGGCAGAAGTGGATGTCTGCAGGTGCCATGTGGCTTGGTCTACACAGTGAGTTCCCAGCCAGGGATCATAATGCTACACAGAGGGATGGTGTCTTGTGTGTAGATGGTCTCATCTATCTGTGGATGCCCCCTTGTAATAGCAAAACTATCTATACTATATCCCTGAGGTCATACTAGCTAAATATACTAAGTGTTACTAAAATATGGTACTCTGTATACTCAGGTCTATAAAATGATCAAGAAGACCAAACTAATAGAAAGCATAACTGTACTCCTCTAACACCTTAAGAGGTAAAAATATTCAGTATGTATGTATAAACAAAATCAGAAAACCCTGAGCTATCTGCCTCTGGTTTTCATGAAATATAACATCAGTGATATATGCATTGCAGAAACAATGACTTCCTAGACATGTAGGGAGATATTTTTGTTTTTCTGTTTGTTTGTGTTTGAGGTTTATTTCATTCATTTATGTGTATGGGTGTTTTGCATGCTGAGGTCCTGTGTACCACATGCATGCAATTCTCACATAGGCCAGAAGAGGGCAATGGATTCCACCTGGAACTGAAGTTACAGAGGATTGTTAGCTGCTCCTTGGGCCCTCGGGGAGAGCAACAAATCCTCTTAATGGATGGGCGTCTCCCCAGTCCTGCACTTGGCTTTTTTCCTTCCAGCCATTTGTTTTACAGTAGGTGGACTAGATCACCTGCAACAAACAAGGGAGGTTTCTTGAGATCTGCAGGGACAAGGGCATGAGATGTGCATGCTCACTGTCTTTGGCTACCGGATACCTAAGCAGGGCATTCATGTGTTCAGGATCCTGTTCCAGCATCACTTACTGTCAAGGTTAGAACAGGTCTGTTATGTCTCATCTAGGATGACAATGCACATTAGGACCATCAGATGAGATGCAGAACTAAGAAGACGCTGCTGGTGTGGTGAAGGGGTAAGGAGTCCCTTTAGATGCTCCAACAAAGCAGTGTTGAGAAGAAACTTCAGAAAAACCTGAGTGGATGGAGCCTGTGGCAGAGGCCACATGGCTGTGCTGGAGAGCTTGTCTGTACAAGGCTAAAAAGAGAGTGGTGGTTGATGCTGCTTTTTTACCACAGTGGATCTCAGGGTATATTGAGGAAGTGTTTAGTGCAGATGATTTATTCTTGGGAGGCTCCCTTGGAATGGGATCTGGCTTCTGAAACTGACAGGGAGTCAGAGAGTTAGTGTGAGAAGAAAGTAATCCAGGGGTCCTGAGACTGGTACTGTCAAACCAAAGATACAAAATCTACTCTTTATGAATAAAGGACATATATATACACACAAGAAACATCAATATAGATACATAGTTCTTTCAATTCTATGGCTGGTGTATTCAGCTGGCCAGATGACTCAGTAGGTAATGGTACTTGCTGCCAGGCCTACAAACCTTATTCTCTTCCCTGGGATTCACAGACTTGAAGAAGAGAACAAATCTTCTATAAATTGTTGTATTAGTTAGCGTTTTACTGCTATGAACAGACACCATGACCAAGGCATGTCTTATAAAGGACAACATTTAATTGGGGCTGACTTACAGGTTCAGAGGTTCAGTCCATTATCAAGGTGGGAGCATGGCAACATCCAGGCAGGTATGGTGCAGGAGGAACTGAGAGTTCTACATCTTCATCTGAAGGCTGCTAGTGGAAGATTGGCTTCCAGGCAGCTAGGATGAGGGTCTTATAGCCCACACCCGCAGGGACATACCCACTCCAACAGGACTATACCTCCTAATAGTGCCACTCCCTGGGCCGACCATATACAAACCATAACAATTGTCCTCCATTCTTCCTGTGGACACTGCTGCCAGGTCTCTGTCCACAGAAGCAGAGCATCAGGTTTCCCATTCCTCATATGAAATGGAATGTCTCCATCTGATGCTCTCATGTAATTATATTACAATGTGTTCCATTTGAAAGATTTGGGACTTTCGTATATTTACCTTGTAGAGCAGTTATGGAAACCAAGACTGTGATCATCAATGTATCAGCTGAGAAACGGGGAAGGGAAGGTGGCCACTGGGGATCTGTAGCTGAGCTGAGACTGTTATGAGACCCAAACTGCTCCACAAGGTCCTCACTACATGCTTGATGTCGTAGTCTGGGTTCTCTAGTGTTCTCTAGTGGAAGAGAACTTACAAAAT